GGAGCTTAGTTCCAGGGCGGGGGGGGGGGGGTTTGGGTGGGGCTTGCTCAGTGCCCGTCTACTTGCCTTTCTTTTGGAAATTTCTGTTCCTGGCGTCCGGCACGGGGTGGGGGTGGGGGGGCGGCATCAGCCATGGGAATTTTGTCGTCATGACCCAGAGGTCACTGGGTGCGATGCAGCCGGCAGCCGTCTACGGTATTTCTAGCTCAAGTTGGTTCTACGCTGCAAGGTGGGGAACCTGCGGTTGCCACTGTTCGGAAGGGGTGGGGTTTGAGCAGTGTGGGCTGCTCTGCTGGCTACCTCCCCGCCTACATCAGCTGGGCCAGACCCTCCATCCTGGTCTCCCATAGGTGTGGCAGGGACCCCACTCTGGGGCTCCCGCATGCCTCGCAGGGCCTGCACGGGCAGGAGTCGGGAGCCAGAGCTGGGATGGGCCCCGGGCACTCGGATAGGGGGTGTGGGCTTCTCATCCCGTTGTCGCGTCCACGCGTCTCGGGAAAAGCCGAGCTGAACCGTTGCCGCCGGCGGTAGGTGAGGCTCTGGTCCCCACGTCCTCCGAGGGCCTCTGTTTTCATTCTGACTCTCCCTCTCCCCGGGGTGTGTCGTGTGTCGCCAGGACAGAACTCAGAACTCGTCAGGCTGAGGTTTTGTTTGTCACAGCCCTGCAGGTGGGGAGCTCACACCTGCTGTCTGCTGTGTCCCCGTGGCTCAGGGCAGAAGGCCCTCAGCGCTGCAGAGAGCTAGAGTGAGAGCAGAGAGTGAGAGCAAGAGCGGAGAGCGAGCCCGCAGCCTCAGGGTCTCTGGTGACTGCGGTTTGTGTTGTGCTTCTGGCGGGAATTACTTTTATTTATTTATTTTTAAAGATTTATTTATTTATTTATTTGAAAGTCAGAGTTACACAGAGAGAGGAGAGGCAGAGAGAGAGAGAGAGATCTTCTGATGGTTCACTCCCCAATTGGCCACAATGACCAGAGCTGCGCCGATCCGAAGCCAGGAGCTTCTTCTAGGTCTCCCACGTGGGTGCAGGGGCCCAAGGATTTGGGCAATCCTCTACTGCTTTCCCAGGCCACAGCAGAGAGCTGGGTTGGAAGTGGAGCAGCCAGGACTTGAACTGGCACCCATATGGGATGTCGGGACTGCAGGTGGTGGCTTTACCCGCTACGCCACAGCGCTGGCCCCGTACCTGCTTTTTTAAATTCTGTGGAGGGGAGGCTTTTCAGGAAATTGGGGGACATGGAGCACAGGCTGTTGATTCCTCACCTTAGGACTTGTGCAGACCCCAGGGAGAGCGTGTGCTGTGTACCCCGCCCCTCGGGACTCGGAGACCGCCGCCTCTGCTCAGGCCCTGTGTGTTCACCTCGGGCGCTGTCTGCCGGAGTCTCCTCCCCGCCCTCTGTGCGTTGGGTGTCCTGGTGCTGCACATCGGGGCCCAGTGAGGAGGCCCGTGGGTGAGATGCGGCAGTGGGAGGGGAGCAGGCCGTCCCCACGGGAGGAGGCTGCGTGTGCTCCGGGCAGGGGAAGGGGCTGTGTGTGGACATCACGGCCACTGCAGGGCGCTGTGACGGAGAGCAAGCGCTGTCCCATATCCACTACCACCCCCTTCCTGAGCCAGAGCCGCCCGTCCGCACTAGCCATGTGCATTTCTGAGTGGCTCTACTTCCCAGGCAAGCTCCGCTGGAGCTTGGTTTGCCTCCTCAGTGTGGCGGTGTTGAGCTGGTGGGCTCCCTGGAAGAGGTGATGGGGTCTTCGAGGTGGGTTCGTGCTGTGTGGTGGGAGTCCCAGCTTTCCAAGGCCTGGTTAGCAGTCACAGGGGTGGGGGTCTAAAGCCTGGGTCTCTTTGCACTGCCCACTTGGCTTCCTCTTCCCCGCTGTGCTGGGGGCAGGGCCCTCACTGGGGACCTGTATTGTAGCATAGCAGGTAAGGCTGCCTGTGATGCCGGCGTCCCACATGGGCAGCCACCCGTGTCACGGTCACTCCATGTCCCACCCAGCTCCCTATTAATGGCCTGGGAAAAGCAGCAGAGGATGGCCCAAGTGCTTGGGCCCCTGGCACCCACAGGGAGACTTGGGTTGAGCTCTAGGCTATTGGCTTCCACCTGGCCCAGCCCTGGCTCTTGTGGCCATCTGGGGAGTGAACTAGCAGTTGGTAGATCCCTCCCTCTTCCTCTCCCTCCCCCTCCCTCCCCCTCTTCAGCCTGGACCCTGCTTTACCCATTAGCCAGAGTCCAGTGTCCTGTGGCAGCAACACGAAACAGACCGGTCCTGTAAGCAGGGTCAGTTACTCTCCTGGTGAAGTGAATCATCCCAAGGACTAGCAGCTTCATTCCCGCGCTGTCTGCCCAGGCTCACGGCTTCTGTAGGCCACGTGGCGGGCCAGGGCCCAGGGGGCGTGGCTTGTGCTGTGGTCGGGGGACCTGAGGGGCCAGGGCTGAAATCCCCGGACCTGCTCCCCAGAGGCCCACCCACCCTCAGTGGCCAAGCTTCCCCCTATGGCGCTCAGGGCTGCACACGCGAGGGCCCCTTCAGCCACCAGGTGGCGCCACCTCGCCTCCCGTCACCCGGGAAGACGGGCAGCACCGCTTTTATGGCATCTCTTGGTTATGACCAAGGACTGAGCCCGGCCTTCATCAAGA